ATTGGTGACTGACTAAATACTTATTTTCCCCACTGTATTTGTCGGACGCATCGGAGGAGTCTTCCGTTTTGGACGTCCTTCGTCGCGGCGCTGTGACGTATGCGGCCGACAAATTCGACCTTCGGAGGACCCGTCCTGCCGTTTTGGACACAGCCGTAGGCCTCGTAGCCCATAGTATATATGCTTTAGACACGCCCACTCTTGTGATACGCCCACTTTGATTCAGCAGATAACCCCTTCTCAACTGCTCTTCAGTTCTACGAGTTAGTGCTGAGAGACAAGTCACTCTGAGCTCTTATTTTGAAGGCCAGCCAGCAGCCGCTATCGGAAGTCTTCTAGTATCACTGCTGCTAACTTTATCATTGTTCTGTAGCTCCGAGCTAACTGTGTCCCGTGGCCTGCTGCTCAGAAGAGATGTGGAGACAGCAGGTAAAAACAGAGCAAGAAGAGAAGTCGGAGGATTTCCTCAGAGCTAAAGATGAGGAAGATGAAAACATGAAGATMCAGATAGAAGCAGTTTACAGCCTCAACCACCAGCTGCAGACATCAGGTTTGTTTTTATTCTTTCTCTTCATGTCATCATGTTACAGTTTAGCACAGTGGCAGCTGGTGGCTTTTTCTCCAGGGGGGGCTACAGCTCCAATATAAACATATCTCAAAAAGACATTTCAAACATGTACTAAGTTGTTTCATGCCAGTGTATTTTACATGAAAATAATAAAACAACATTACATGTAGTGTTTTATTGTTTGTACTTAAAGTTTGCTCTTCTGTTACTGAAAAGCAAATTTCTTCATGACTCAGTCAGGAATGTTTTAACAAGATTATTCTCTATAAAGCATGGTCAGTGCAGTGAGATGTGGTGTTGTGTACCTGAGTAAAGTCTGGATTCTCTTCGGTGTTGAGAAGATCCTCTCAGAGTCAGCTGTGGTCAGAGGAGATGTGATGAGGATCTTCAACAGAGTCACAGTCTCTGAGAAGGTGCTTCAGAGAATTTGCTGTGGTCCTGAAGGAACCTGTCTGCCTACAGCAGTGTAGTACTTGATCAGGGGTCGAATTTATAAAACTTGCGTACGTACAATATGAGCCCAGAAATGTGCGTACACCACTTTTCACGCAAAGGTTGTGATTTATAAAATCCAAACTTGACGTGAAAATGTGCGGTGCCTCACGCCAGCTCTGACCCATGCGTRYGCTYRTTTTGGAGACGTGAAACTGCGACACAGATGGTGAAGTAGTTTTGCATACTTCGGCTCTATATTTGCATTTAATTATACTKATTGTTTTTATCGTCCTGCAGGCTCTCAGAGACGTCCGTAAACCTGCAAAATCAGGGAAAATCTGTCAATTACAGACATTCTGTTCACGTGAGCAGCTGTCAGTCAGCACCTGTCATCATCCAGACACACGATGGAGTGTGTCTGAGCCAATCACTTCTTTTTGACATTGATCAGCTGACTGATTTAAATACATCTTTACATTCATGAGGTACTTTACATTGACTGTTTATGGTTGAGTGTGGGCGTGTAGAGGGTAGAACCTGAGGCGGGACCTCGTGCACAAACTCTGACATGTGGCTGTGATTTATAAAGGAAAGATGCGCAGAAACATGCGTACGCACGGTTTTATAAATCTGAACTTTTTTGGCATACGCCATTTTCACCTTTTGGCCGTACGTTCACTTTTAGTATGGTTTCCACGCAATCCTTTATAAATGAGACCCCAGATGTTTTCTGAATGGCTCAAGATGATGTCACAAACCTAAAAACTATAAATGCACAAACTTAATTCAATACAAAGATGGCTACAAGTGAGCTTTCTAAAATCCTGTAAATTTAATATATAGAAAACTATGTTATTTTAATAGCAAAACATTGTTGCACCTCTATTAAATTTTGGTTTTAAGATATGTTCATTTCATTAAAAACAAAATAAACTCTATACACAGCAGAAGAAAAAAGATAAATAAAATGAAAGGCAGCAGAAAGAAGAAAAAATCTTCTAATATCTGTCAAAAACATAAACAACACAAAAATATATTATTTTAAGTTGTGTTCACCATTAATATACACTCACCGGCCACTTTATTAGGTACACCTGTCCAAC